ATATAAAATATGACGCAATCCTAAGTGGAAATAGTCTAGGAAGCGCTGAGGGCTTTCCTGGGACATGTTGGCCTGAGCCGAGCTGACCCTCCATCACAGAGAGAGGAAAAAGGCAGCAGTGTCAGTCAGACGGTACGACCCGCCCTGCTCTGTTCTCATTGGGTAAAACTGACTTTTGTTCTCTTTATTGGGTGAAAGAACCGTCAGTTTAATCCCTAGACGGCTTTAACAAGGTTCTTTCTCTCCCGTTCATTTTTACGACGAAAAACCACGGAGGAAAACTTAAATCCAGGTCTTTTTTTCTTGGTTGTTCACCGGACCACTGGGAGGCGGGATCTGGTTGTCCGAAACAAAAATAGGTTGTCTCGGACAAACTAAACAATGATTACGTTAACCCCTGTTTTACGTCGATTAAAAAAAAAMTTCATTCCGAAGGTGTGGCGGCTTTAGACATGGCGGTGCGCCACGGTCATTTACATGTAGAGGAAACCCTGTGTTCCTCATATTTGAAGTGGAGAGGAGCGGTTAGCAGTGAGATCAAGGTTTGTAAAGTGGAGAGTTCTAGTTTTTTGCTCATGAGCATTTTTCTCAGTCATCAGGACAGAAAAAAAATGCAAATTGTGCACACCTTGATCTGTGTGGGCTGCCCTGAAACATTCATGACTCTCAGTCAGCACCTCCCACATCAAAGATTGTTGCAGAGAATAAAACAGGTGCGTACCCTCGAACTACAGCATCACGGACCAGCAGCTGTGAAACACAGGGACTCCAGTCCCACAGCAGCCCAAACCTGGYGCAGTCACTCTGGAGGAAGCGCAGGGTGGCAGCCATCAGGTCGCGGAGCTTCATCCTCCTCGGGCCGTAGTGGACAGCTGACGACTGTTCACTGGTGAAGAAGAGCCTCTGGAACACTGGGGGGGCACTGCTGAAATACCTGGCAGCAAACCTTAAAGAGAACAAGTGAAAAGTAGAAATGTTCTGCAGAAATAACGAAGAGTTTCACTGCAGCTGGTGTATACTGTGCAGGTTTCAGAAAATCACTTTTCAGGATGTGCATATACAGTCATATGAAAAAGTTTTGGCACCCTTGTTAATTTTCCTGATTTACCTTTATAAATCATTGATTGTTCGGATTAAAAATATCAATTAAATATATCATATAGGGGATGAACACAGTGATAGTTGAGAAGTGAAATGAAGTTTATATGATTTACAGAAAGTGTGCAATATTTGGTTAAACAAAATTGGGCAGGTGCATAAATTTGGGCACCATGTTCGTTTTATTGATTTCAAAACCTTTAGAACTAATTATTGGAACTTAAATTTGGTTTGTTAAGTTCAGTGACCCTTGACCTCCATACACAGGTGACTCCAATTATGAGAAAGGGTATTTAAGGGGGGCAATTGTAAGTTATTCTCCTCTTTGCATCTTCTCTGAAGAGTGGCAGCATGGG